GGGGCACCCCCGCTGCTCTGGCTCCCCGGCTCCCGCCGCACAGCTCCAGCACGTCGCACCCAGGGCACTGGCGGCCTGGGCGATGCGCGTCGCGTCAACTCCACACCAGCCTCGCTAATGACGACCTGGTGTTGGGTCCAGCCCTGTTCCTGCTCCCCCAGCTAGACTGAGCACCTCCTCCTGGGCCACAGATCGCCCCACTCAGTGCCCTGGCCACAGATCCCGCCCGGCGCCTCCTCCCCGGCCACGGATCCCCCCCACTCAGCGCCCTGGCCAACGATCCCTCCCCCGTGGCACCTCCATCCTGGCCACGGATCCCACTCGGTGCCTCCTCCCTGGCCACGGATCCCCCCCACTCAGCGCCCTGGCCAACGATCCCTCCCCCGTGGCACCTCCATCCTGGCCACGGATCCCACTCGGTGCCTCCTCCCTGGCCACGGATCCCCCCCACTCAGCGCCCTGGCCAACGATCCCTCCCCCGTGGCACCTCCATCCTGGCCACGGATCCCACTCGGTGCCTCCTCCCTGGCCACGGATCCCCCCCACTCAGCGCCCTGGCCAACGATCCCTCCCCCGTGGCACCTCCATCCTGGCCACGGATCCCACTCGGTGCCTCCTCCCTGGCCACGGATCCCCCCCACTCAGCGCCCTGGCCAACGATCCCTCCCCCGTGGCACCTCCATCCTGGCCACGGATCCCACTCGGTGCCTCCTCCCTGGCCACGGATCCCCCCCACTCAGCGCCCTGGCCAACGATCCCTCCCCCGTGGCACCTCCATCCTGGCCACGGATCCCACTCGGTGCCTCCTCCCTGGCCACGGATCCCCCCCACTCAGCGCCCTGGCCAACGATCCCTCCCCCGTGGCACCTCCATCCTGGCCACGGATCCCACTCGGTGCCTCCTCCCTGGCCACGGATCCCCCCCACTCAGCGCCCTGGCCAACGATCCCTCCCCCGTGGCACCTCCATCCTGGCCACGGATCCCACTCGGTGCCTCCTCCCTGGCCACGGATCCCCCCCACTCAGCGCCCTGGCCAACGATCCCTCCCCCGTGGCACCTCCATCCTGGCCACGGATCCCACTCGGTGCCTCCTCCCTGGCCACGGATCCCCCCCACTCAGCGCCCTGGCCAACGATCCCTCCCCCGTGGCACCTCCATCCTGGCCACGGATCCCACTCGGTGCCTCCTCCCTGGCCACGGATCCCCCCCACTCAGCGCCCTGGCCAACGATCCCTCCCCCGTGGCACCTCCATCCTGGCCACGGATCCCACTCGGTGCCTCCTCCCTGGCCACGGATCCCCCCCACTCAGCGCCCTGGCCAACGATCCCTCCCCCGTGGCACCTCCATCCTGGCCACGGATCCCACTCGGTGCCTCCTCCCTGGCCACGGATCCCCCCCACTCAGCGCCCTGGCCAACGATCCCTCCCCCGTGGCACCTCCATCCTGGCCACGGATCCCACTCGGTGCCTCCTCCCTGGCCACGGATCCCCCCCACTCAGCGCCCTGGCCAACGATCCCTCCCCCGTGGCACCTCCATCCTGGCCACGGATCCCACTCGGTGCCTCCTCCCTGGCCACGGATCCCCCCCACTCAGCGCCCTGGCCAACGATCCCTCCCCCGTGGCACCTCCATCCTGGCCACGGATCCCACTCGGTGCCTCCTCCCTGGCCACGGATCCCCCCCACTCAGCGCCCTGGCCAACGATCCCTCCCCCGTGGCACCTCCATCCTGGCCACGGATCCCACTCGGTGCCTCCTCCCTGGCCACGGATCCCCCCCACTCAGCGCCCTGGCCAACGATCCCTCCCCCGTGGCACCTCCATCCTGGCCACGGATCCCACTCGGTGCCTCCTCCCTGGCCACGGATCCCCCCCACTCAGCGCCCTGGCCAACGATCCCTCCCCCGTGGCACCTCCATCCTGGCCACGGATCCCACTCGGTGCCTCCTCCCTGGCCACGGATCCCCCCCACTCAGCGCCCTGGCCAACGATCCCTCCCCCGTGGCACCTCCATCCTGGCCACGGATCCCACTCGGTGCCTCCTCCCTGGCCACGGATCCCCCCCACTCAGCGCCCTGGCCAACGATCCCTCCCCCGTGGCACCTCCATCCTGGCCACGGATCCCACTCGGTGCCTCCTCCCTGGCCACGGATCCCCCCCACTCAGCGCCCTGGCCAACGATCCCTCCCCCGTGGCACCTCCATCCTGGCCACGGACCACCCCACCCCTTCACCCTGCCCCCTCTCTCCTTCCTACTGCTGGGGCCCTGGCTGGCTCCGGGGAGGGGTGAGGACACACCTCCCACCCCCTCATGCTGCCTCTCTTGGGCTCTGTCCCGCACAGGTTTTCGGAAACCCCATGGGCCCTGGGGGAAACACCTCTGGCAGCCCCATGATGCCCGGCATGGCAGGCAGCGGCTCTGGAATGAACTCGCCTCAGTTCATGGGACAGCAGCCGTTCCCGGAGGGGGCCGCCGGCAAGGGGTACGTGCAGCAGGGGATGTATGGCCGCAGCACGTACCCCGGCGGGCCGGGCTTCACCGCCAGGTAAGGAGAGACCTTGGCCTGGCTGGGCTGGCCACGCCCTGGCTCCCTGGGCCGTGGGCGGCCTGGGCAAGTGGGGCTCGGCTCTCAGGTCGGCGCTCCGACACCCCCAGGCTGTGCTCCCCCTGCCGGCCAAGTACGGAGCCACCCCCAGGCTGAGGCGCCGGAGCCCAGCTCTGGGATGGGGCTGCGGCTCCCCCGGGAAGGGGGGGG